ATAATGATTGGATAAGATTCAAAATTTTAAGTGTTTAAATATTAAATGAAATTTAATTTAATGATATTATTCTTTCCTTTTTCTTTTTATTTTTTTTATAGAAATTGTTTGATGTTAAAAGATTTAAATTAAAATTTTTATTTAATTTTTGTAAAATTACTAATTATTACATTTAACTTTTAATTATGAATAAATTAAAAAAATTGAAATATTAACAATAAAGATTATAGAGTTTAGTGATTTAACAATTGGTGATGGATTTGAGATAGTAATAATGAGCATGACTTTCGGAAACTACATGCTTACTTTAATGAAGATGCTTGTCATTTAAGGCAAGATAAATGAATTAGTAATGATGCTTCATTTATTTAACATTTGTTTTTATTGTGGATTTGGTTTAAGACTTTTTTATATATATATATATTTAAGACTTACTTTGTAGTGAATTTAATTTAAGATTAAGTTTTTTCTTATTATCATACTTGATGAACTTATTTTATACTATGTATTTTAATATTTGTTAGTTTAGATCTTAAAAATTATATGTATTTAATTAAATTTGTTATTTTAAATGGTCTAAATGATGATTTTCAAGTGGATCGTATGATGACTATTTTTTAAGAATAAAATAAAAGTAATACAAAATAATAAAGTTTAATAAATATGTTAAAAAAATTGTTTTTTAAGTTGACCAGTTAGATCGATCTGACCGATTGAATGAATTGGTTCAATCGGTTTAACTAGATTCGGTAACCAAACCAAATCAACCATCGGATTGGACCCAAAAACATTGGTTTAGGATGGGTCGGTAGGGGCATTGGAGTCCAACAAAGGTTATCTAAGGATAAATCACCTTGTAAGATTGCATGACAATTTGTTACCCTTGGCTCTCAAGGCTAATAAGAATTCAAAACCCCACGAAACTGCCAAACCATAGGAAAGGAAGCTTTATATTTGGTTGCAAAAGTCTTGTGAGGGAAATGCAGATCAATCTATGTATACAAATAATGTCTAGGAAAAAGAGAGCTCTAAGTTGCATGCACCCACAAACCTTTAGACACTTTTGTCAATTGTTAAAGCCCACGATAAATACATGCCAAAATAAGGGGAACAAGGCTATATGTAACTCTGATCACCTTTTGTGTTGCAACTTTGAATGTTCCAACCTTAGCAAGTTCTTCCTCATCTAGAGAAAAACAAATCTACTGAGCCAAACACAGAGATAGGAAACAATTAAAAGTTCTTCTTTATCATTTACCTCCAAAGGAACATATAGTCTACTAAGTTGATCCCATTATCCTGGTACACTAGTTAGTTTCTTCTCATGTACATATGTCTATTTTAATGGGCAATGAAGTTAATGAGTTGAAATTAGTTTCCCTTTGTCATCATACCTCAACTTTGACATATCTGGATGTCATTTACTGTTGAGTGGATTTGGATACGGTGGGTTGTGATTGTACTAGAAATTAAGCCAATCAATATACATTACATGGTCATAATTCTTACTTTGGATAATTGTGGCAAAAGCTTTGAATAGAAGTAAGCAATAAGGCGATAATCCTTTGCAACCTCTTTGTAGCTAGAAACCACCTCTTTGCAGTATACTCCTTAGATTAAGAGGCCAATCTTGCATTTCTAAAAGAAAATTTTCAATCTTTCTTGTAAAAGGTAAAAATGTATTGGTACTTGGAGACCATACCTTGATGAGGGCGCGAAGCATATTGGAAAGACAACAATAGTCATTGTTTACTAATGAGATTGCATCTGTTAAGGCTCCCATCTATGACAACTTAGCATCTTGGCTACATAGTTTGACCAGTCCCATAGGCCACTTAAGAACGATACCATTCCCACATGATCTATAGACGAACACCATTTGCTTGCTTCTTGGTCAATTGACTGTGTTATAACTGTAGTTGGTATTTCATGTTCAACCACATGGCTGGAAGAAAGCATCAAGGAAGGAAGAGATCTAGTGTTGCTTGCAATTGATAAAGTTTCTTCTTTCGAGGTCACACACTCACAAAGCCTGGGCATCTCCAATGAGGGTAGATGAGAAAGTCTTTCAATGGCTTAGTGACCACTAGTTGACTCAAGCACCATAAGTTAAAGCTCCTTAGCCTCTGATAAGGGAGATAACCACACGTGAGTTGATAAGAAGTGTAAGAATTGCCTAGCCTTTTAAGGATTTGACGAATTAGCAATCTAGTCACCTTTCAAGATAGTAGCGGTGGAAATCATCTTGGGAGCTGGTCTTTGATTAGCAGCTATGTCTAAAAAAGTCTCACATATGAGGTCAAATTATTCATGCTAAAGTTAAGGGATTAAACAATAATGGGCACTCTAAAAAAAGATGCTTACTTGGATGGTTCAAGATGGATGCAGTTTAAGGGGAAATGCCAACAAAACTTTCAAGCACCACAGTGTGTTTATAAAGTTACAATTTGCAAAGTCATGAGTTACAATAAAAAAAAAAAAATACTCATGTAGTTTATCTTTCCATGACTAAGCAAATGTGCAATAGTTGTAACAAATAAATGGAGCAAGAGTGCAAGTAAGTTTTATAAAAAAAGAGAAGACAAAGTAATGCATGCAACAAGAATGTTGTGGTCGAGACTTGTTGGGTCTAAAAAAAAAAAAAACACTATTGTTCCATTTATTGCTTATGGAAAGACTTGACTGAGGGGAACCATAAATTAGGTGACTAAATCACAAAATTAAAGAAAGTTGGAGGATGGAAGTCAAGAAAGAATACAAGTTCAAGGATGGCATTGCAGTTTTACCAAAAAACTTACAACATTGGTGGAAACCTGACACGAACTATTTCATGGGCAAAGTGTTACATCTTCTTTTAAGTGTTGACCGGTATGTAAATGTTTTTGATCCGAGGATGCCGGGTGATGCAGGAAAAGCAGGCCCAGGTGAAAGAGGATGTTTGGCCAATTTTAAAAAATAAAATAAAATTAATGAAATAATCTCCATTAGTGGATGTTGTGAGAAAACAATGCGTAGAACTCTTCAAAAAATCACAAGATTTGGGCAATGCAATTTATAACAATTGATTATGATGAAAATGGAGTTTACTGTGCCTGCAATAAAGTTGAAAAAAAAAAAAGTCCTGTGCAATTAAAAACTAGGAATGTAGGCATGCAAAAAAGAAACAATATAGCGTTGAAAAAAAAGAAAAGGCAAACAAGGGGAGCACGTGATAGGTTCCATGTTTCTCTTACAGTCCAAACAAAAGTGCGGTATTGAAAACAAGAAAGAAAAGTATGAAAGGGCAGTAAAGCAGTGAAGCTAGATAGCCAAATATTAAAACAAGAAGTGCGGTCACTGTTAAAGGGAAACATCTATGTGATAGATCATTCATGCTTTTCACAATCCCATATGAAAATTGTACTAGCAGCATGTCATGTGTCATGTTCATGATGCATCGTTAAAAAGCAGTATGCACACACAAAATAACATGGTTGTTGATTCACGTGAAAGACATTGCCATAATGATAACAACAAAACACTACAACAATTTTAAAGTTAAGTGAAGGGCATAGGTGGTTACTTGCTTGAAGTTGCTGTTGACTATCAAACAGCGCACGAGACTACTGCAATTTGAAGGACACTGTTGCTCCGATTGGTAATGGCTGCTGCTGGCGATCACTGCCGCACCGTGAAGGAGGCAAAAGGTTGAAGCTTTGCTCCTGTGGATGAGTGCTGCGGCTGAAGCTTTGCTTCTGTAGAGGAGTGTTGTTGTTGCATCGTGGGGGAGGGAAAAGGCCTGAAGCTGCTCCTGTAAGTGAGTGCTACTGCGGTCCGAGCTACTGCTACCCTATACCTTTGGTCTCCCAAAAGAATCAATTTATAGAAGCATGAAGATAGAGTTTGAGTAAAAGTTGATCTCAATTTTTGTTTAAAATTCAGAATCCTATTTCAAATTTAAGTTGATTTGCAAATAAAAGGATGAGATGTAGCTGAAGAAAGAGAGTTTGAGTTTTAAACAAACTCACTCCGATGGATGGACTAAAAAAAGAAAAAAGAAAGTCCGTAAATGGACTCTGAAAGAAGGAAAGAGGAGGAAAAATGAAGTTCGCAAGTGAACTTTGATTAAAAGAGAGGTCTCTAAGCGAACTGAAAACTGTGTCCACAATTGGACAGCCCATCGAAAAGGACCTCAAAAAGGAGAAAAAAATGAGCCTCTAAAAAGAAGGCCCAAAAAAAGCCTAGGAAAAAAATGGGAAGAAGAGAGCCATAAAAAAAAGAGGTGATTGGTTCTTTAGAATTTTCCTTACTCTTTGGTATAGTATATATCAGAATTATTTTTTTTTTTTTGCATAAAATATATGTAAGTAAATTAATTCTGAGGGAGCATTTGTAGACATTAAAAAAGTTTGTTAAAATTAAGATGTCTTTACCCTAGTAAAATTTTGGAAGTTGGAGTAATAATTTTTTAAAGAAATATTTTCCCTTTAATTAAAATAAATTTGTTTATAAAATGACTAAATTATCCCTAAAGTGAAGGGTATTTAAGGTCATTTGGTAAATTTCCTTTGGCTATAAATAGGCTATATATTTGATTAAGAAAAGGAAGGAAAAAGGAAGAAGGAGAAAAGAGAGGAATAGCAAGCTTCAAACCCCTCAATAATTCTCGAAGTTTCAAGTCCCAACTAAGAAAGATTTCAACCCCTGCGAAGAGTAAGCTCCAAATCCCTACCAAGGATGAAAACTTTTGAAAACAAATCTCAAATCTCTTGAAGGACAAGATTAAGCTTAATTAGGCTCTTACTCTTCTAAATTTAGCTATTAATTAAAGGATTATGCAATTCTAGGATGTGTTACTTTCTAAAGCTCAAGCATGTGCACTACAGCACTCCAAACCAGAGATTTTTTTCTATTTTCTTTCAGACTCATTGTAATTTGTATCTATTTTGCAAATCAATATATGTTGTTTGATTTTGCAGGATTTTTGTGACTACATGTGGTACCATGGACCCAATATCACTTGAGGTGGATCTTATACTTGTGGTCCAATAAGCCTTGTTTTGATTATGATTTGGTTTAATACGATTAAGTGGGTGAGATTGTAATACCCTGAATCCCATATTGGGATGGAAGTGTGAGTGTGATTGGTATATAAGTGTAGGGATCAAACACTACTAATAACTTGAGTTTTAAGTTTTTGAAGATCTATGAATCTTATTTACTTGAAGAGTTATTAGATTGATGGCAGGCTTCAATGCCACATTGTTTCACTTGAAGTCAACTTGGCAACTCAACAATCTTTAAGTAGTACTAGCATTATCAAAGATTAAAGAGGCGTTTCGTCAACAATTTGCCTTTTAAGTTATACTAGCAAGATTTATTGGTGTGTCAACATCTAAATTTGACAAAATACTTTACTGACAAAGTTTGGTGTTTAATGGGCAAAGTTGAATCTAAAAACCCAAAAAACTTACCAAAATTCTGTTTTAATTAAGCAATAAAATAATCATAGAAACAATGTAAAAATAGAAAATAAAAAGGGTAGGAAATAAAAGAAAAAATCATGATTTATAGTGGTTTCTCCAACCCTACTTGAGAGTTGAATCTATTAGGATCTTCGCTTATGGGTGCAAGATTAAATTAGAACAAACTTGGCAAAACCCCACAAATTGCCCTTCAATTTTTTGAGTGTGTGGGACTTTACCTCTCATATTACAATATGTGATTTTATACACTCATGGTATTCGAGTTTATGATAATAAGGCAATATTTAACGTTGAGGGGCCACGTGCAACAAGTGCATTGTTAATTTCCGTCATACATGTACAAGTTAGTGACACGTAAACCTTTTTTTACATGCTGGCAATCCAGCTTGGATTGCTTATTAGCGAGAAATATACCATCAAACAATTTAATTATAGGTCCCACTCTCTGACTTATAAATTAAAGTTAAATTACACATTTATCCTCTCATCATCATCCCTTCCATTCAATCTCTTCCTTCCTAGGATCTCCATCTTTAGCAAACTCAAGCCCATGTTCTTGTTTCTCCAAACACGCTACTACCCTTTTTCCCATTCAAACTCACAATTTCATAGCGTATTTCAATCATCCATATAAACAAAATTTTGCTCATTTCGTAACATTAAATTTCCATTCAACAACCAGAACATTTGAAAAAAAATTCCATCAGGAAAATACATCTATATATTGTTGGCTTTGCTAAAAAAATAAAAAATCTTTAAATCTGGGTTCAAGAAACCTTGGAATATGGGTTTCTTGAACCCAGATTTGGGTTCCATCAAACCTAGCAATTTGGGTTCGATGGAACCTAAATCTGGATTCCATCAAACCCAAAACCTTTGTTCGCATGGAGAGGAAGAAGCGAGAAGAGAGAGAAAGGAAGGAGGGGGAAACGAGGGAGAGGGAGGAGAAAGATGCACTTGAATCCTTACCGAAGATGGGAAGGTGATGAGCTGTAGGAGGAAGAAGAAAAGGAAGATGAAGGGGGTGAGGACGATATGCGTTGGAAAAGGAAGGAAGAAAGGAACCAAAGATGGGAAGAAGATGAATAGGGAAAATGGGTAGAGAACAAATGAAGAAAATGAGTGGACGATAGTAATTCTAATTGATAGTAAAAAATTAAGGTTTGTTTATATGGCAAATCATCATGTGCAATGTCATTAATAACATTTTAAGTTGATTTTAAAATGGGATCCACATGGTTTGTGAACTACCCACATGTAAAATTAGTATCCAGGTGACACTGAGGTGTAATTGGGAAACGGAGGGTAACAAGAGGAGTCAATATTTTCCTCATTTACTCAAATTATTTAGGGTTAAGAGCAAATATTCATACATTGTAAAGTGGAGGGCATTTTGCCTCAAGTTCAAAAAGTTGAAAGGCAATCTTTGGGGTTTTGCTCAACAAACTTTTACTTGCAATTACAAAATTGAACCCTCACACCTAGTTTCTATGTACTAAGAACCATATACAAGTGAATTTTAATAATAAAATTATAAAGAATTTAAATCTACAATTTTTCTCTCCAAAAGTCACAATGCTTTTCATAAACTTTTTTCGCATAATATTTTATTTAAAAATATAAATTTATAATTTTTTATATATTTTAATTAATTTTAATTAATATATTATATATTATTAAAAAATCACCATTAGAGCATGGCACAACTCCAAGAAAAGTAGCCTAAATCATATATTAAAAACAAGAGGCCTAGACTATTCTACTTGAGTAAAGAAATTACATTCCCAATAAGAAAAAAATTTACAATTCGGATTACATATTAAAAAGGCAATTTAAATTATGAATTTATTAAAATATTTTTAATAAAATTATTTGTTATATTATTTTATTAAATATACTTTAATAATTTTATAATTTAAACTATATTTATTTGTAATTTAACTTAAAAAAAAATAAAAAAAATATATTTTATAGAGCCCTCTCATCTTCAGGCCTGCTATATTATGTTAAAAAAAGTATGATATTTTAATATCTGAGTTTGGCGGGAGACGGAAGGAAGGAGGAACTAGGGCAACTCCAAAAATGCTCACCGGTAGAGAAAGCTTGATAAGAGTGATCGGCAAACGCAGGCGATATCTTCCCAATCGTCAATCTATACTCTCAGCCTCCGTTCAGGTGCGCTCTATCATTCTTTCTACTTTATTTGTGGATTTGGATTTTCAATTTTTCATTCATTTCTGGCTCTATGATGTTTAGAATTGTTTGAATCTTTTGCCGGATGAGCATGGGAGGGTTCCCTCTCCTGAAGCTCTGGATAGATCCCCAGCAAGGAAAACTGGAATATCTGATGCTGATAGGGTAACCTGCCCTGTATGTGGTACCGAAGTTAGGGTTGAAAACCATGATATCAATTCTCATCTAGGTACTTTTTATTGGGTCCTTCTCTTCTCAATCTGGGTTGTTTTGTTAAAAATTAGAAGTTAGCTGCTTACGAAGTGTAACATCCCCTTTTGATAAACTAAAAAAAAAAAAAAAAAGGTGATGTTACACCAAATCAAGGTTTTATATCAAGCAGGTACCTAAGCTCTAGTTGGTGCTTTCCTTTTGTTACGGGCTGCTAAGAGTCATTAATTTTCGAGGTTTGTTGTCAGTTTCTCTTTAAAATCTCTATGGTTTTAATTTATGTGTTGATGATTACTGGATTCAGATGCATGTCTTTGTAGAAGAACAAAACGAAAGTTGAGACAAAGCACTCTTCTTCAGTGGAACTGTGGTTCATGGTTGAAGGATCAAATTTGTTCCACTAAATCAAAACAATTGGTGGAAAGTGTCTTTTGTAATGGTGCTACCACTTCTGTACAGAGTGTCATCTCTGACTTAACTAATTTTGATTCAACTGAAGAAAATGATCACAATCATTTGAAATTGCCGATGGATGCCAAATCTGTGAAGCAAGCCTCCTTGGCTGGTTGTACAGATAATCTAGTAATTAATGGAAGACAGGATTGCATTGTCAACAGAACATTACCATCCTCAAACAATGAGAACCAGTTTGCTTTGGATGTAATTGTGGATGACATATCTATTGTCACCATTGATACTTTTATTGTTGGTCGGCGGTTTGGTGACAAAGTAGAGTTGACTTTTGGGGAAAATATCTCTCTTATGAGAGAGCCCAATCATGTTAATGACTCAAATGCAATCAAGGTTAATTTGCTTTTTCAATTTCTCTTGCATAATATAATATCTTTTAGTCCATTAAACCTATTGATGATTTTAAAGGTGGTACATGAATCTTTTTTGGAGCCAGGTTCTTTCTACAGATTTTGCATGCTGTAAAGTGCTTGGTTATCTCCCTCGAGAGCTAGCTCAATATTTGTCTCCTCTAATTGAGAAGTACTGTTTAAGCTTTGAGGTAAAATAGTAACTAAGCTGGAATGAAATGCATGGAACTTTCTGGTTTGCTTTTGTTTTGTTTGCTTATTGAAGGGGCATAGCCAAAGTTTATATTTTGGTGAAAAAGCATGTTATTATATATATATAAGATTGAGGAATGGGTGGGCCACATGAGGAATTTGATCCTCTTTTTTTATTTTACGGATCATAGACATAAAAAAGGCATTTTAAATCTAGGTGGTGCTGCCACCTTACCCTCCTTGGTTCTATACTTTTGCTATAATGCACTAGTAAACAGTTATGCCATGAAAATGGTTAACTTCCTACTTTAGGCAGAAGCAAAGGAAAGATTGCTAATCAAATAACAGTAAAGCCTCAACCTATAAAAGGGAGACAAGTTTTGGTTGGGAGGATATCCCATTGTACTTTATTGGGATCATTAGAGAGGTGATATAGTTCTAGGGTTTTGGGTATGAAGTAATGTTGGCAATGTTAAGCCTTCACAATGCAACATTACCATGTCAAATATATTGCCTTATTAATTAAAGTCATATATTCTGTTTGACATGTGTTCAACTGTGCATGACAATATTTCAAGATATGCAGAATATCTTTGCCAATGTACTTGAATTTCATTTTATTGTCAATTACTAGGTTAGCTCCATATTTTTTTAAAGTTTTTCAAGCTCTTTTTTTTTTTTTTTTGCAAATTATGCTACCCCATTCTTTGAATGAATTAAACTTCTCTGAAAAGTTGATTAAAAATTTTACAAAATGACTATGATATTTTGGTTATTCTCGTTGACATTATCTCACATAGGAATTACTTGCAGGGATGTGTGACTGCTGTTCCTAGTTGTTGTCTTGATGTTGTTCCAATTACACTTGTCTGTGATGACATGACAACAAATGTTGAAAAAGAATCTAAAGATTTTGAAGATTTGAAATGTTTATGGAAAAGGGCTCTTGAAGTAGCTGAACGAATGAAGGATCATCCACCTAGGTCGACAAGATATCAGATAAACTTTTGTCTGTTATTGCAAGAGGTTTTAAGAAGTAATCCTCACCTATTCACAGATGGTGAGATAAAATTCTTGGGTAATGATTCTGATTCTCGGCTTCTCATATATATTACTTTCTTTCCTTTGAAAACCTCTTTTTTAGGTTAAATTAAATATCTGTTTCACCTATTGACAGAATCATTTGCTTCCCTATCAGAGGATAGTCAGAGGCTATTTGTTCGGCTTTACCCACGGAAAGGTTTTCTTATTTACATGATTCTACTATTTTCATTTCCCCCCCCCCCCCCCCCCTTTTTTTTTTTTGGTTTTATTCTTGCATGTCTGGTTGCATATCTGATGGTACCATTCTATTACTAGTCAATTGTGGTGGGCAATATGGGTATATTAATTGCTTAAATCTGAATAAGTTTTCACTGATTCACTTTAATATGAATGCGAGATGCAGTATGGCCAGAATATCTATTTTTTGGAGTTCTGCATTAGTTGCTTGAATCTAAACATTGTACACATGCTTAAAGTTACCAGAGGTTTATCTGCTGATAAAAAAAAAAAAAAAATTGAGGTTTATCACATGAATCATTTATTGTGACCAATTAAATGGCCATACTTCATAATTCCTCTTCATTCTTTCTATTTGTATTCCTTCTACATCTATAGTGGTTGATTGGGGCTGTAATAGTTAGTTGATGACCATGATGTATTTATAGTTGACTTTTAAGAGCTAGGAACCTTGCAAGAAAATTACTTATCATTAACGTATTGCTAGATATGAATTTGGATTCTCATGCACCCAATATTTATGTTATATATGGATCATGGTACTTGTGCATCATTTAGACATGCTTATGATTTCCAAGTTTTATTTAGGGCTGTAAATGAGTTGAGCTATTTGTGAGCTACTCTACTTGAGCTCATGTTTGACATCAAAACTAAGCTCAAAAATCAAGTCTAGTTGAGTTTGAGTCACAATTTAAACTTGACTCAACTCAACTTAGCTGTATTAAAAAATAATTATATATTTTAAATATTTTAAATTTTTATTTTTATTTTTATTTAAATCTGAATTAAATTCAAGTGTTCGATTAAGCTTGCAAGTCAAGTTCAAGTTCATGAGTTGAGCTTGAGCTCAAGAGTCAAGTTCAGGTTTGCAAGTCAAGTTGATATATTTGAACTCCATAAAAACTCAAACTTGACTTGTTAATGTAGCATCAAGCTCAAATTTGAGTTCTAAGGAACTCAACTTGACTCAACTCATTTATTGCCTTTAGCTCTAGTCATGTAAATCATGTGTACCAAATTTCAAGTTGATCTAACGTCTATGACCATTTGATCCAACCGCATTTTCTTTTTTGTAACATAAATTCAATGGAATGGAATTTTGTGTAATCAATTAAATAGTTAAAATATATTCAATTAATGTGAAATTTGGCATTCATGATCTAATTGAATGGAACATTTGATCCAACGGTTATTTTTTCAAAATACTAACTATATTAGAAATTTTAAGTGTGCGTAAGAATTCCTTTTTCTTACTTGTATATTAACTATATTTTATATATATTATGTATTGGCAGTGAATTAATCAATTTTTTTCTGTACCATTTACATCTTAGGTGACAGTTGCATCTAATAAAATGCAAAGGGATACTAATATTACTATTTTCTTTCATTAAATCTTCCTTTGGCAGAAGCAATCAATAAAAAGTTATGGTTGTAATTGGATGCTTATTTAATATTTTGATGCTGTTTTAATTGGTGTTCTTGCTTCAGGACCATGGTTCCGATTATCTACCATATTGTATCGTGAAGTACTTAATTCTCAAGAAGCAATCAAGGAACTCTCTGGTAATCTAAACTACCACCTTTATGTATTTACTTATATTTTTCTTGTAAAATTCCCAGATTGAGGACCTTAATGTCACCTTATTTTTTCTACTGTAACATGGCAGCAACTGGCTATATTTGTCTCTTTGAAGATAAAACAGAAATTGAAATTGATGACATGGAGACCATTCTGTCTTTGCTTACTATCACTGAGCTTCGTGACATTTTGTGCATGCTGAAAAAGGTTTGATGCTTATATAATGTTTTTATTGTTGTTTAATCTGCTCTACTCTGTTAGATCACATGCAGTGAGGAAGAATGTCACAGCATCATTTGGTTTATTGTCTCATTAGTAAAAGCTTTGAAACTAATGAAATATTCAATTAAGATTTTAATTAAAATAAATTCATCTATTGTCTTTCAAATTTTAACTTGAAAAGAAAGAGCTTATTGGTAACATGATATTTTATTAAAAGCAAAGCTAGCTTCCCATCCATCCTTCTGCCTTGCAAATCACTCATATGACTTTCTTGTGGCAATGAATGAATGTCTATGTTCTGCTCAGACTATTTAGGAAGCATCATTCCCCAAAAGGTGAAATGTTATTCTTGCATCTTTCTGTTAAATAACCTTTGACTATCTTTTGAGCTCACTAATCTGCCTCATCTGTTGTATTAATAGCTCTGTGATTGTCCTGCATAACCTACCCATATAAATACTTAAAATTTCAAATTGAAACTTGAAATCGTTGGGTTGTTTCAGATGACAATTGATTGTTTATGTTTATTAGCTTTTTTTATGATTAGTTTCATTACTTTTGGTGTTATATTTTCTTACAGTTTCACTTTTTGTCCTAGAATCAGTCAAAATTCCTTACTTCTGTGTCATCTCTTTAAGGTAAATCATTGGCATTGATTATTTTAATTTGGAACCTATAGTGAAAAAACTGGAGACTGGAAATGCTAAATGGAGCTTTTTGGATGGGTCTCTGTGAATTTGGATGATTCCATAGTTTATGCTCCTAAAGTGATGAATTGGCTTCTGATGACTACACAGTAAAAGACCTGCTGTGTGGACAGATACGGGTCAAACATGTCTTTATTTAGTAGTAAAATGTTTAAACATGTATTTCTGCATGCAGAAAGCATACAAGTAAACAGTATATACATTTCAAAGCCTGGCTAATGTTATTGGTATTAGCTGATTGCACAATTTATTGAATATTTTTGTTGATTGCCTGCAATATTGCTCTTTGATACTTTTAATATGGTTTGTGTTATCACATATTCCTTTGATGGTTTCTCTAACACAAGCTTTTTATAACTTCAGACTTGCAATCGTGGCTCAAGAAAACAGTTTATTGTTGAATCTCTTCTTTCTCACTATAAAGATGGTTCAAGGTAAAAATGGTTTTCTACCAAGAAAATATTAAATTTTCTTATTTAGTGAACGGTGTGTATTTTGCTGGCCAGAGTGAACACTATCTTTTTATATTTTTTCTAATGTGCAGCCCTACTCTACCAGGATTGATCATGCAGAAAGTTGGGATCTGTATTAGGATATCTTCAGAAGCTGAATCCCTTCTCTGGCGGGCAGAGGTGTTTGCTTGCGTTGCTGCACTAAAGTAGTTGGTTGATTTAGCATGGCTTATCACATCTCAAATTACTCATTTATTTTATAATTTTGATGCAGAGACTTTTCTTCTTAAATGGGGAGCAGGATCTGTCAGCATTTTTACTGGTTGATCTCGGGATGGTCAAGTATCCCACTTACAACTGCATAATTTCAGAACCCATTTTCTCAAGTAGAAGTGACCTGCTTGCTTATGAAGAGGTCACTTTTTCTTTCAACTTTTGAATAGACTATTAAATTTTCTTGTGTTTACTATATGTAACACTTGTTGCAGGCTGTTGAAGTGGCTCAAATAATGGATCAATCTCTTGATGAAGGCAACACTGAATTGGTGTTGCAATGCATTATGATATCTGACTCTCGTATTATCCCTGATCCTTTTGCAAAAGCACGCCAATCCACAACTACTGAATCAGTGGCTATGTTTCTTTCACACTTTTCAGCATCATGGGTCTACTCAAAAGTGGTTTTGTTAGGAATTTCCTTCCTTGAACAACAGCATAGGTATGGCATTAAGAACTGATGATTGATACTTCTTACTATGAAGTTTTCCTTCTTCCTAGGCCACTAGAAAACTTTTAGCTTTTCAGATGGGTACAATTTGATGGCTGGAGCCAGGTTTGACCAACCGAAATGGTCACACTTAGCAGCTGAACTAGAGACACTACACTCAGAAAGGATCAGGGGGTACCTCTTGGTACTGAATATGAGGGAAGGTATTAGTACATGCTGTAGAAGAGTGTCTAATTTGGAAAGATGAGAATGGTACTCTTCTGGTGGAAATGGATGCAAAGATAAAAATAATAAAAAGGATCATTGTATATCTCATGGCCTTGACAATTGATGTCTAGTGGGCCTCACCCTCTTATTGTCCTCCCTGCCTCCAAGACAAAAAGAGAGAAAAAGAGACAGTATTCCATATCCTCCATGAAGAGGGCTGTTGATGTTTGGTTAGCATTGTGTTTTTTACACTATGACCTAATTAACACATAATAGAAATTGACATTTAACAGCATGCAAAAAAACTTGCAAACACAGGCAAAAATAATTGTCTTGGAAGAATTAATGATCTCTGAGGACTTATTTTTCTGGCTCAGGTACAAAGATGCAACACATTTTCTGAAGTGTTTACTTAATTGCTTCACTTGTGATAGAAGAAGAGGATATTGGACAGTAAGGTTGTCTATTGATTTGGAACATATTGGGTGTCCCAATGAAAGCCTGTCAGTTGCTGAGGCAGGGCTAATGGATCCTTGGGTCCGTGCTGGTTCAAGAGTGACGCTTCAAAGGAGAGTTCTTCGCTTGGGAAAACCACCAAGGCGCTGGAAAGTTCCATGTTTTTCAGAGTCCATCAAGAGGAGGATAACAGAGGTACAGTTATTTTTGTGCACTTAAGGAATTGAGATAATCAACTGCTTCATCAATCTTGAACCAATTTGTTACTGATGATATCTATTATCTAATAAATAATAGTTTCCTAAATTTGAAATCTATCCTGCAAACATTTCAGGTTCATGTTCAAGGAAGACCTTTGAATTGTGAAGCTGGTGCAAAGAGCAGATTTTATGGGGAAGATGGGGAACAATGTGGAGTGGAACAACTTGCTCTTCAATATTATGCTGGGGAAGGTGGCCGATGGCAAGGTGTTCACACTGAGAGTGGCATTTGGTTGGCCATTTTTAGCCTTCTCATGTGGGATGTTTTATTTTCTGATGTGCCAAATGTTTTTCGCTCCAGATTTCAGGTAATCTAATGCACTTATGAGCTTACAACCTAATTGAAAGAATCTGAGTTGATGTTTGCATTGCCAACTTTAAAAAAGTAGGCTGCGTTTGCCAATACAGTTGGCATTGTTAAAGCTTAGGCTAGTGGAGATTCATTAAAATACACTAAACTGATTATATTAGAAGGCATTATGTTATTCTAGCTTTCTCATGCAAGTGAGAGAAAATAGTACTGAGATTGCTTTCTCAAGAACCTAGCTAACTCAATTGAATTCTGAGTTCTATCAGTCTAGATATTTAGTTGTTTTTTTTTTGTGTAGTAAGTGTAGCTTATTGTTATTACGCTAGAAACTTGGTAAGAACAACAGTAAGCATCTGTGATATGAACCAAGATATAGAAATCAGAATGGAGATGCTTCGGGTAACAAGAAAGATAGAATGAAAACTGTTATTTAAAGATGCAGTGATATCTTTGTGTAAGTATGTGGTTACATAGTGTGTGTTAAAGCAACTGATTGTTATTTTTTTTTTTTCTGATTTCTTTTGTATGTGCTTTGAGCAGATGATGCTTTAATTATGTGAAGTAATGAAATATCCTAGTCTAGCTCATGAAATCGTTTAGTGAGTTATCAAATTGTTATTAAATTTCTTTCATGATTAGGGATGCAAGGAAGATTAGTAAATATGAATGGTATATAAACTGATACGGTTTTGTGTGCCTTATTTGTGAATAAGAACAGAACATGTTATGCTTGTTGTATGACTGTGTGATAAGCGATGGGTGCATACCGTTTGATATAAAGCTGTGGAGAATCTGAACCTAAACCAATGCTGTGGGATTGTCAATGGACCATTTTTAGGGTGTTACATGGACCTCCTTTAAAGATTAGTGGACCTCTGCCTAATAGGGTAGTAATGCTGAGCCTAGTTCCAGCATCAAATGTGAGTAGTAATGCTGAGCCTAATTCCAGCATCAAATGTGAGTGCTAATACATTCAATGGACTCCATAGTTTGAGGGTGCCTAGGTCACTTTTGTGTTTTTCCTGTTTTTCTTATTTTTTCAAGAATGCTAAAAAAAATCAGAAAAAGTCAAAAAATACCTTCATTGAAATAAAACTGAAAAACTACCCGAGAGGAACCAACTTGTACAGATTAAAAGTATAGGAACTCATTAAAAATCAGCCTAAACTTGTTAATTTTGCTCAACCTGCCTCCTTTCCTTTTGTTAGGGTTTGCCCTTATCAAGCATCAGCCACAAACTTCTCCATAACTGTCAACCCATGAACTTCCTCCTCCCTTGTATTTTTTCTTCACTCTTTCAACCAGATCGAAGGTAAGAAAGACAACAAGGGGATCAAATTCATCACCACTGACAAGGACAAAGATGAGGATGCCACTGCCAATGACAATGCTGATAAGCCAATGACAATGCTGATAAGCCAATGTGGTAGGATTTGTAAATTAGTAGTTTTCTTGCATTGAATTGTTTGCAAAGTAAAAATTTTCTCGAAATTTTTTTTGAAAATTAGTGAATTTCCCTCCCTCTACTCAACCCAAACACCCAAACCTACTGCCTGGCTGCCTAGAGCTTACCTAGGTGCACTTTTTACAACATTGGCCTTTCTGTTTGATCTCTGATGTGGCTTCTACCTTGTTTATTTCTCTTATTGTGTGCTTTATTCTGTTTGAATTATTTAGCATCCTAAGTCTATTAAGCTATTATCTCTGCTTTGCTAAATTTTGTGTTGCAAGCATTAAACTTTGATTCTATGAACTCTAGTAAACTTTCTATGCTACATGTGTATTTGGCTGGGTAATAACTTAAAACACTTGACACTTGCTGACCATCTTTTTTTCTACTTCATTTCAGATAAATAGATTGGATTGTACTTCTATCTGTTTCATGTATGGTTCAATGTGTAGTTGTATTTTAAATAACTCAAAGTTATAATATTTTCAGTTTTTATTTATAAATTAGACACTAATTTACATATCAATTTCAGATGCAATTCACTTCACTAATTAATGTTCCTTGTGGTCACGTATAGAAAAGAAACTAATTCATTATGCAGATTTAATAAGCTAGACCAAGGCATTTCATTACTGCACATAATCAAAACATTATTAACTCAATTCACATGCTTAAGAAATCAGAGAAAGCATATTCAAGCATATATAGCTTTAACACACACTAAGGAACTATACGCTTTTTCTTCCTCCTTTTTTGATCAGCAAAGTAACCATACACTTATATAGATTCCATTGCATGTCAGTTCTTTTTATTTGAAGCATTGACATTTTGGTTTCTATATCTTGGTTCCTAATTCACATGTTTTTATGTTATTCCTTCTTAGTTTCCAGCTTAGTAACCATAACTTACCACACACAACAAAACCACCTAAGTAGTTGGACACATAGAACTTAGAGAATTCAATTTTTGAAGCAGTCTCAGCAGAGCTCCTTTGCCATCGGAAAGGTAGAATGACTTGATGCCTTTAAACTTTTTAACGATTGGCTTGATAGAGTGGTTATACTTTGATCTAACTATAAAATTAAGATAAATTAGATGAAGAGAATGACAAAGTAGGAATGGTCATTTCATGCTTGTACTTGTTTTGTTCTAATGAGAGTTAGGTGGGAATGGTTAAAGCTTAGAGGGAGGTGTCATTAGTTATTCCCACCTTGTTCCATCTTATTAGAAGAGAGGTTTTTTCGATGAAGCAAGGAATAACCACCATTCCTAATCAAGGAAAATTTAGAAAAAAAAAAAAAAATTATGGTAGTCACAGTCTTAGTAAAGATGTAATGGAGCGATGAGTAACATGTAATGGAGCAAAGTTGATGACTTGCACCATCAACCATGTGGTATGGTGGTAAAGTTGCCCAAGTTCTCATCCGTAGGTCTTGGGTTTAATCCTCAGTCTCTACATACCATAATAATAATAATAATAATAATAATGCATGGCCAGCACTGCTGTAAGTTTCCAAAGGTGGCTTTTAGTTTACGCTACTACGGCTGTTAATGAGCGGAGTGCTTTGTGAGTAACTCATGAACTACTCAAGTTAAGGTTGAACCTAATATTGAGCTTGACATAAAACGAGCTTAAGCTTGAGCATTCATAAGTATTCGTGAGTGCTCGATCTGGAATTAAAATTTATGTTATATATTTATTTATTTAATTTAAATGTATAATAACTTGTAAACTTAACAAGCTTGAAAAGGTAATTTAAATAAATTATATATTTTGAGTTATGATTATTAATAAAAAAGTTCAAATAGAGTTTATGGTTTTTTTTTTTTTTATTGTTGGGACTTAATATGTTTAAGCTTTTGATATTATAATAGTTTCAAAAAATGTAAAAAAATTTATGGTTAAATAATTAATTATTGAAACATATTGAAATTACAAGAAAAAAACTGAAATTCAAGTTAAAGCACTCATTGGCACAAGCTTGTGAGCAAGCTTGAACTTGCTCAAACACTTGCAAGCTGGAGCTTGAGCTCAACTATTTTGAGCTTGACAAATACTTGAGCTTGACTTCAGCTCGAATTTTTAAGTTGAGTTCAAGCACAAGTACTTAGGTACTCGACTCATTAATAGCCCTATATTGTACTAGTTATCTTTATTTTTTTTTGGATACATCAGAGAAAGCTGCTTGGTAATACAGAGATTTGAACCTCTAAACTTGACCCCAAATCAAGGTTTTTAAGTTACTAGGTAACAACTCAACCAAACTCTTATTTTTATGTAACTACGTGTTGGCAGTTAGAAACTAATGTGCTTAGATATGAGGATGCTCAGGTGAATACATGACTAAGCAAGAAAAAATAGGGTAAGATCTATAAGCTGTTATGAGTTACCAATTAAGGAGAAACTTATAGGACACCTCAGATTGTTTGCCTCTGTCTAACACGGACTTGGGGAATGCTTTTAATAAAAGGAAAATGGGAGATATTATGTGAAAGATTCCATTACTTAATATTTTCAAGATAACTGGTACTTGTTTGGAAGAATGGTGGAAAAGAAGTCGCGGTGCTGACTTTAATTAGTTTGGGATTAAGGCTTTATTTAATTAAGTTTTCACCAAAACATAAGCAATGTTGGCAGAAATTTGCCATTATATACTCAAAAGACTGAAGAGGATGAGGGAGGTCTGATGGAAGACTGGAAATTGAAATTTCTCCTTGTTCCAAATAATGTGCTCGGAGGCATGTGGAACCTTGTTCCATCATTCCCGAGTGGTGTCCAAGGAAAATAATATAAGAATTAGAAATAAGGAGACTACGGAATGTCCGTTCTTTGCTGGTGGAAACTTTGGGGTTTTGTAATCAATTCCAAATTTCTAAATGCAAAACTTATTTTTAATCCATTTTCTATGAAATCCATGCCCTTTTCAAGTGGAATTTTCCATGAAATTTTAACCAACCATTAGAAATTTTCTTTTTGCAGACTGCTCCTTTGGATTTAGAGACTGATCATTTTTATCTAGCAAGGCAGGACATTATAGAGGCTCAACTAGAAAAGATTCATAATGGTATGGCAGAGGAGATCCTCGTCATATCATGGGAATCACATGTTGGAACAGCTTGTAGAGGAATTAGTTGGGACCGATATTCTCTATCTGATCTCCGTGCAGCTGTTACATGCAATGGGGGTCCTTGTTTGGCCTCCTTCTGCAGACATCTTGCTCAAGATTATCGGAACTGGTCAAGTGGAATGCCAGATTTGTTGCTTTGGCGCTTCCACGGGGACTACAGAGGTGAAGCTAAACTTGTTGAGGTCAAAGGTCCCAGGGATCGACTCTCTGAACAACAAAGAGCATGTTTGCTGCTCCTAATGGATTGTGGGTTCAGTGTGGAGGTTTGTAAAGTGAGCCCTCCATAAGTGTCCACATGATCATTTCTGTGAAAGATTGCTCGACTGTAGCTGGGTAAAACTCCTCTAGCAATATTCAATTAGTAAATCATGGATGGCCAAAAAAAAGAAGAAAAAAAAAAAGTAAATCTTGTAAAACTATTCAATTTATCAAATCAGAGGTGCCTTTTTCCTTTAAAACAAGAAAAGCAACATTTTATTAAGCGGATTTTTCTTTCAAACGAGAAGTTCACATCTACGGTTCAAGTTTAGGCTTTCGAAGATGAAATATTAGAGTGAGAATTCGCTTCAGTTTTTTTTTTTATTAGGGATTAATTTGTTTAAACTTGAAAATATTATGGGGCAATTTGCACATCTAGTCTCTATTTTTTCTCTACTTCTACAACCGACAATTAAAAGGCTGACTGGATCCACATCTAAGCTAAAAATAGTCTCAAAAGGCCTCTTAGTCTGCCTGCTGTCCCATCGTTTTCTTAACCAACTCAGGATCATCAGCATGATCTAACTCCGTTGATTTTCTCTGAGCTTCCTAATTAAATAAAATGCGTTAAATGATTCATAGTAAAAACACAGTTTGGATATATTGGACAGAATTACTCCCAAACCTATTGCATAAAGTTAACGACATGGCAAATTCTTTTTTTTTTATTGGTTATTTTGGACACGGCAACTTCTCATTGGCCGTCATTTTGGGAATAAACAATGCCTCCCGACCTCATCTTCTCCTTCCAAGGCTACTTTGTAACCAAATCACATTGGAAGCCCATTGAGGAAGTGGATACTTGTGAGATTGTGGTAAGAGAAAAACAGCGTAAAAGTTCATGTGATAACAGACTCAACCTCGTTCGGATTTGATAGCAACCAAACTAGAGACGGAGATTAGGAGGGAAGAATTAGAGATTTGGGAGAGAATTCAAAAGAGACGCAAAAGGGAGGAGAAAGAAGAATAATGGGAAGAATAGAGACATTTGAGAGGAAAGACAAACATTTCATTATTCAACGACCCAATACCAGTTTATAAAGTTATATAGTCAATCTAGGTAAAACCATATCAATTGCCTACCCCTAAGCAACCTTGCCCTCAAGGTTGTTATTACAATAGTACTACTGGTGTTTGCATCCTGTAACCATATATCTTGTAAGAATGGACATGGCTATAGAACCCATCTTGATAGAACCAAATGAGCGATGTGAATCACAAAAAGAAGAAAATTGTTGAGTTACTCTCAAGCTGCATAGTTGCTTCATGTGCCACCTCAATGTCTGATGTTTTGCTCTGCATTTCTTAGCTTCTCAAATTTTAAAATCTCCTTTTAATTTTCTACCAAGACTACCATTATCCTGGCAAGTGAAAAAAAACAACAAAACATTCTTGCATTTCACGTGCCGTGACCCAGTAGTCACTTGCTACCCAAAGGTAGCCTGTGGTTTGTACTCTTATATTCCGAGTTCAATACCCTCCACTAATACCTCTAACATACTAACCTCTAATATACTAACTTCTAACCATTGTAGTGTAAAAAAAAACATTCTTAATTTGTAGTGTAAGCCAACAAAACATCCTTAATTTGTAGTGTAAGCATTGAAAGCACACTTGCGCCTATTAAAATTGTCCTTGTCCTCAAGGACGAGCACAAAGAAAACTCAAATTTCTTGTGTTTCCTAAAATTCCATTGAATCCTTTTGGAAATTGCTTGGAAGCACTTCCCAACGTACAGTATCTTCTTGTGTTTCTTGTAATCCCTCAAGAGATTACAGTCAATAGCAGTTCCAAATGACAACATAGATAACTCCCTTCTGTAGCTCTCACATATTCTACATAATTTTTCAACGTCGAGCAACTTATTCTTTAAAACTGACATGCCAAACAATTGAAGGTTGGGCAACTTGATCAATTCAACACCCTAGTTATTCCCTTTTCTGATACTTTTTCATATTGATCTTTAAGTTGAAGTGCCAGTTCTTGATTATCTAAAGAACTTAGTTTTCCCACTTTCAAATTTGCACATTTAGCACTATACACCAGTGTCATTTGCTCAATCGGGAACACATCATCATTACAAACTTTTTGAACTTTCTCATTACTTATCCCACCTCCAAACTTGTTCCCATATTGGTCATTATTCGAAATGCTAAATTTTCCTCATTTAAATCTTCAAATTCAGTATTCAACCCAATATCACAAATTGCACTTACCCCTTTTTGCATATTTAGGTCATTAACACCAAATTCTTCATTCAATAGGAATTTTGACTCACAAACTCCATCTTGGACAGGAGGGACATTGAACTTTCTCGTGACTTATAAACTTACTTGGTTTTGGATTTGTTTGATTTTCGACCTCTATTTGCATTTCGATTTTTTGTTTCTTGTCCTTTTTTATTTGTTTGCAAACATCACTTACTCAGATCACACTCATTGATGATAGCATGAAGAAGAGATTTTTGCCAAGTTGGATATGTTGGTTAGTCAGCTTGTGAAAAAGAAACTAAGCTTGGCTGAAAACAAGAAGTTTGTGGCCAAAAAGAGTGATCCAAACTTCACAATTCCTACTCCATAATTTTTTTGACACCCTTAAACAAATTTCATATTGACGTCTTACAACCCATTAACCCTTATTTTAAAATTGTGAGGCCCAATGGGCCAAAGCAGCTGATATCAATAATGAGTTGAGTCTTGCATATGGAATCAAAATTATTGTGTGTAATTTCTTGAACAATAATCAAGCAAATCTCGGTGTGAACGTTGAATCCCTAAAAGAGGGTGTATGTGACTCATAAAAGCAAGTCCTATATTGACAAAGCACAAGAAAAATGCTAGATATATAAGTTAATACTCATTAACCTTTATTAACACATTTTAAAACCAAGAAGCGCGATGGGCAAAAGTAAACATTATTAACAGTGGATCAGGTTATTACAATAATAAATTAGTATTGCCATACATAACTTGTAGGAGCTTGTAGAAGGTGACCTAGAAGTCAACATGGTGCTTTTAGTGCAACTCAAGTACTCAATCACTCTCTAAACCTATTTACTAGTCAAATGAGGTTTTGGGTTGACTTTCCCTTTATATATGTAAATTTTTTAATCAATTTACATTCAATACCAGAATTGTGGTTGAAGTTGAATTGCATGAAAATATGTAACCAACAACGCTAGCTTTAATGGAAAAGAGAGTGGAGTATGTACCTCACAACGAAGGAAGCCCATGTGGAACAAACTGAGCTTATTTAGACTATCAAAGATGAGATAAGCTTTCTTAAGACCGAGCAAACTAGATTGCAAAAACAACTCCCATTCAAGGGCAAAACTAGGCAATCCTTTATAAACAAGAAAATAAGATACTTATGGACCTAAACACTCAAATTGATCAAGTTATAGCTTCTAAAGTTAGTCTAGTAGCCTTGACAAACTACATAGACATTTGCAATGGAAGACTTCAAGCATCTAAAGAAGGAATGGAGTGGATGGCATGATCATTGTTTTTAGTTTCTTTTCTTTGGATGTTGAAGTTTGGGGCAAATTCTTGTTGGCTTTGTTATTTTGTTGTTTATTTTCATAGGCCAAGCACACTTTGGATATTTGGATGCTAATTTTAGACATATTTTGATGGCTATTTTGTTTCTCATATTGTCTATTGTCATGTGTTTCAAACTTAGTTTAAAGGAAACTTATGCCTTTCACAATCATGTTTGGACTGTTTATAGCTATCCACAGCAATGTTTGGTTGCTTATATACCACTTAACACTTATTTGCCATAATTAAAAAATAAGCAAAAACTAATTTAAAAATTAATGTCAAACCTAAACTTAGGTAGCTTCTTGGGACTCCAAATCTCTAACCTATTAGACTATAAGATAAAAAGGATTAAAGCAAATATCATAAATTTTTTTAGGATGGATGTGATAACCCATTAGATGGATGTGTCAACGCCTTTTGTGGGGTTTCCACACCTAGAGCCCTTAAGCAAATCCTACATCAAGCAAGCATGTGGATCTTAAGTCTATAAGTGTAAACCCACTACCACTCTAATAAGGCCTTTTAAAACTGTGAAGCCCATTTCAACAAGCCAAAATGATATCATGGGCACTTTGTTTTAACACTTAATATATTCAAAATAGTCTTTTTCAATTATGAGATAACTTCTCAAACTAGGGTCCCTCTTATCGAGTGGTAAGATTACTTTCCCGACCAAGTTACTAATGGTTAAACTCTTAATCTTCACTCTTTTGTTATAAAGGCTTGTGCAACCTTGAGCTTTTAAGCTTTCAACCTTTCTAAAACCATTAAGCAAGTATCTCAAGGTCCTCAAGCTTAAATATCATAGTCTCATCATTTTTTCTTAACTGGAGGCCATGCTAAATTGCGATTCTTAAAGACCAAGCTATTAATTCCATTAGCAAAACTGCATTATGGCCCTATGCTAAGGCAAAATGAGTAATTAACATAAAAGTGAGAAGACAAAATCCAACATCCTTGACAAAAGCTTCAATTTTTTAACCAACAAAAATTGTACCTTATTTGATTATGATTGTCTCAAGTTGACCAAATCTTTGAATGATGTCTTCTTTGATAAATCCAATAATAGTAGTTTGGTCTACGTTCTTCATGAGCTTGTTTTAATTTATTTGGTAAAGTAATATTTGACCATAATAATAAACAAATGACCTTTTATTAAAAGAGAATACACCTTACCAATTAGTACAAAGCCTAGCCTCAAAATGACTAAGGTTTCTTAATTAGATTGAGTTTTAAGATTAGAATTCTATGAAATAGTCTTTGTACTTAACAAGACTTGTAGCTCTTAGTATAGTTTATGTAATTCTTTAGAATTGATGGCCAAAAGAAGTCATGTATGTGGATTAACTAGTGTTTTTTTAATCATAGCCTAATGTGCACCATAGATTCCGTTGTGAATATTAGACAGTCTAGTAATAGTCATTTGGACCTAGGTATTGTAAAAAAGGTTTATCATGTCCTCTTCGATAAGTAACTTCCTCAATCAAGATAGAATTGAAACCTTACATTTTAGTGTTCCTAGAGACCTTGGCATTATGGTCTTTAGGATATTCAATAATGGTGCAATGCTAATAAGTGTGGGTGACATCAACAATATAAACTAAAATCACCATGTAACATTAATGGATGGATGGCAAACTTTGTTTCTCAACAGTCACAACTTTTTGTATCATGCCCTTAAGAATTTGTAGACTTAAGGTGATCTAGGCAATCTCAATGGTCTCACAATTCTAATTTTAAAAGACATGTCTAAAAGATACATTCTTAAACTTATCTAAGAGTTGGATAACAAAAGCTATGATGGCTTAAATCCCACATTGGGATAAAAGTTTGAATGTGATTAGAATGTGATTAGTATGTGCTTGTTATAACCAACCACTACTAATAACTTGAGTTTAAGTTTTTTGTAGACGTATGAGCCTTAGCTGAAATAGTTGTTAAGTTAATAATGGGTTTCAGCTTAGGTCCTTTGAAGACCAAGGCATGATGTTAAAACAAGACTAGTACATTTGTACTCATTAGCTAATTGCCTCAAAATTAATTGTGAGTCTCTAATGACTTCAACTATAGATAGTTTTAAGTTTCACCAATATCTCAAGGCAAATAATTAAGGCCTCATACTCTAGTTGGATATTTGTATAATTGAAATTTAGTTCGATGGACAATTGGGGTTTTAGACAAGATAAAGAGACAATAAAAGCCCTAGCCCTAGCCCTATACGTTGATTTTGTGCTAGAAACCATAAAAAATGAGCTTCCAGAAGACCTAACTTTTTGAAAATAAGTTAACCCATTCTTCTTTATCCACTTCTACTTCAAAGCATGGATGGTTTGTTAAAAAATTTTCTAAGGCTTGTTTTTTGGCAACTTTTTGTGGTGTGTACTTTAGGTTTAACTCTGACAAGGCCAAAATTTTTTTTTTTTCTTGATTTCAACCTCAAAACATAATACAAAACAATAGATACTTTACCATGTCAGCCTTGAAAATAATATAAAATTTGGAATAAAATAAATAATGTCTTAATTTTATTGTAGTAAAGAAAAATGTAAGATTTTAATGGTATTTGAGTGGACTAAATAGGATTTTACATGGCTTTTATTGTTTTAGCCCAAAAAAGTCTCAATTATAAGAAATAACGAATATGGTATTGAGTTGCAAAAAAAATTGAAATCTGGTGCCATATTGAAAAAGTAAAAAGATTGAGGACTAAAATATCAATCTAATGTAAGTTAAGGGACTATAACTTGTATAAACAAAATTTGCCACGATAAATTAATGAAATTTTTTTAAGGAAGGACCATTTGGGTACCAAAGATTCGTTTAGGGACTTAAAAGGTATTGAAATAGTTTAGGGAAATGATTTTTGTACAACTTTTTTGTCTGATTTTTTTGTACAACTTGATACGTCATTTAAATGATTGATTCTTTTAATTCATATAAGACCTGTGATATTGAATGCATCCGCTCATTTAATGATATGTGAAAGTTGTATAAAAAAGTGATAAAAAAAAGTTGTCCCTGTAGCACCACCTAATAGTTTATGATAATTTTGTCATTTAAATGATTGATTCTTTTAATTCATATAAGACCTGTGATATTGAATGCATCCGCTCATTTAATGATATGTGAAAGTTATATAAAAAAGTGATAAAAAAAGGTTGTCCCTATAGCACCACCTAATAGTTTATGATAATTTTGGTATCAATTGAAATGTTTTAGGAACCAAATTGGTATTTAACTATTTTTGGTAAGTAACCAACTAATGGTCAATCTGAAAAGATAAAGAGAGTTAATAAGGAGAGAAAAGGAAAGACACACTCAGTTTCAATACTCATACGTTTTTTATTTTATAATATTAAATTGTAAAATAAAAATTATTTTAAAAAAAACAATGAGCCACTTTGATTATTTTTTATTTTAAAATATAAATTTCAATAAGGCTATCAATTTTTGATTGATTAAAACCCTATTTTGGTCCCTACTATTTATTATTTTTACCCCAATTTGGTCCTTAAACTTAAAAAATCTCTGATTTAGTCCCCACTATTTATTATTTTTACCCCAATTTGGTCCTTAAACTTAAAAAATCTCTGATTTAGTCCCCACTATTTATTATTTTTACCCCAATTTGGTCCTCCCATTCAAATTCTAATGACGAGGCATGTTA